TGATAACCAGCTGACAGAATGATAGGTCCTTTGTAGCGTTACGTTTTTGTCTCTGCATTCTCTGGCTGCTCTCAAATTAAATTCAAGCTTTTGAAGTTGGCTCATATGCCTCTCTGAACCCTCACATCTTCTCACCCAATCCTTCCACTTGGTCGGGCGTCTTGTCTTTTGAATACGTTTTGCAGACTCGGGCTCCCACAGCAGGATCTGAAATCTTCAAACCCATTTACCAAAAAAAAAAAAAGAATACTCCCTGTGGTATCTGCAGACTTGTCAGCAACATATCCTCCCAGCAGCAGAAACGCCACAACTACAGCTTTTTTTCAGTTTCCTCCATCCAGTCTACACGTTGCCTATTGTCTTTGGCTTTTATTGTTTTCCTCCAGGCTGCTGGTTAGTCACACAACAAGCCAAAATGGCATACCTGAGGGCAGTGACTAGCACATTGTTATCCTAAGAATTGACAGCCTGATACATAAGCACACACAAGCTGGTAGAAGGTGTATTTAGACTCAGAGAAGCAGCCAAAAACCCCTGTAGTGCCAATTACACATACAACTCTAATCTCTTGAGCAAGCTGGATGGACAGAGGAGGAGACAGAAGCAAGGATGAAGGGCTGAGATGAAGATTGGCCATCGTAAAAATGTTTGGCAATGCACTGATGTAACAAAGTATGAGAAACTAAACAGAAGCAAGAAAGATTTGCAGATTAAAAATAGGATCTAGTAGAAGTTCGTGGTAAAAAAAAATAGTGGAAAAATGTTAAAGAAACATCAATTCCAGTTTGATCAGATTTCAGTTTTTTTTTTAAGAGTGATAACTAACAGCATAAATGTGAATTTATTTAGTAAATTTATAAATCATAGAAAGCAGTTCATAACACAACACATTTGAACATCAAGAGCTAAACATAAATTAAATTTCAGGCATGTGCAAAAAAAAAACCCTCAAATTAACTCTTCGATCTGTTCGATTCTTTCACATTATTGAATATATACTAAACTCGTAGATTTAAAGCAGCATGCATTATTAAAATATGCAAATGACTTTTGACAGGCAAGTTGTTGAAACTGTATGAAATTATAGCTTGAATGTAAAGCAATTATTCTATTTTCCAGCCATATTTACCCAGTTGCCTATAAAACTCCTTCAAGTCACCTTTCAGATTGGCCCGTTGTACTTAATTGCACTTCTTATAATTAACACATAAATGTGTTTTACGGTGTTAAACCTTCTTGCTTGTTGAATTCTGTCCACATTGACGATGTATTTTTCCCTCTGCTTGCAAATTAAATGTTTCAAAAATTAAACAACTGAACTTTAGATACTCAATTTAAGTGGCATCTGGTGCTATAAGGAAAAACTAGACTGTTTCTGAACAGCAGGGATGTAAACACATCTGTTTTCCTTTATCTAAAAAAATAAGATCTTAGTGATGGTACAGACTAGTCTTTTTGCACGCTAACAACTTCTGCACTAAACACATCCTATACATTAGGACTGCTAGTGCTTTTCTATAAATAAAACTACATATAGATTTTTACATGTCTGATCTTCTACTCCCGGTCAATCTGAAATTTGTCAGATTCCAGCTGCCTGCAGACTGAGCACTCAGCCCATCTCTAAAAGTAGGAAATATAGGGAGAGAAACGTGTTTGAAAGAGTGGAAGCAGCCTCCAGCCTCTGCACAGTGTTGCATGCAGTGCTCCAGGTCAAGACACACATCTGTCTCTCAAACTTCTATCACTCAAAGTGATACAGCCTTGAGAGCCCCAAAGGCGCAACGAGAAACTACTAAAGCCTGACGTCTCTTTTTCCTAAAGCTTTATCAAAAGGCAACAAGGGCTTCCTTTAATGTGTTATATCTGCCTGTCATGTCCGCTGCCTCCATCTCTCAATCTTTTCAGCTTCCCCTTCTCTGCCTTTTTCAGTCTTTACCTTCTGCACGTAATCAGCAACTGAAAATCCTCGCCGTCGTCCTTTTTTTTATTATTATTTATTAATATTTTTTGCTAATACTCCCCCTCCTCAGTATCATGGTAATGTTCTCTGAAATTACAGTGGGGTAAACAGAGCAGGGAGTCGAAATGAAATAACTGCTACCGGGCTGTCAGGTCTAGCGAGGGAGCCATCCGTCAGCAGGAAATGACACGTCGTCCAAACCTCCATTCCATCACACGTGCACACAGTTTGATTCCTCCTCTCCTGGTGGCAAGGTTAAGGAATTATGCTCATCAAAGCCCGAGTGCAGCCTGGAGCCTTTCCATTAACCTTATACAACGCTGGTCAATGGCGAGGAGATGGAGCGATGAGCTCCACACACACATAAGCGAGCATTTCTCTGAGCTATACATGCATAAAGCAGGAAAGGTATTTACACGCAAGTGTACAATTTAAACTGTACCTTTAATGGAACAAAAGCCCATACATAATTACACTAAGATAGGATACACACTGGAACGCACAGCCACACACCTCAATTACCGTTTCATTCATAGCCTGACAGCATAGCATGTGCAAAGGCTGACATTAAAGGAAATTAAATCTCCTTGTGGAATGTGCCAGCCCATCTCACCTCCCGTCAAAATACTCCCATTTCCACTCCTCTCCCTAACCTTCTCATGTGGGTATTTAGGGCTTTGTGGTGCGGAACGTCATCAAAGAGAAAAGTTAGCGAGGCGGTCGTGCTTAAAGGAGGCCTCCCTGTGATAATACCCGCTGCAAACAGAGCCCTCTACAATTAGCCCACGCACCCAAATTACCGCTTCACATTCTGCACAAACCGGCTCGCGATTGTAGGAGAAAGTGCTTTCATTCCAGTGTGCGCACATGCAAATACACCGACTTACTGCTGGCTTAGCCCAGCGAGTAAGTCAGTTAACTCTGTGATCCAAACCTCCTTTCTGCATTCAGATATGAAGCCTATCTGACATAATACTGAAAAACATCAGCTCATATAACCGGTGAAACTCAAAGGAAAGTGCAGCTGCTGGGCTACACACTCCCAAGAGACTTAGCAGGAGAGTGACACATGTATAGTCGATTTTTAAAGGCAGATTTAATTAAGCCTCATTCACTTCCAAATTCTGCATTATACAAACTCTGAGCTACTTTTTTCCCACGTGTTCTAAAGCTCTCAACCAACCTGCAGAGGTAGGAGGAGTTTTGTTAAATAATTGAGTTCACGGTTAAAGGAGGAAAAAGCTGCGGTCTCCGGCACCAGCTTCCTCCCAAAGGTTTTAATCAGATCAAACATGTCCTGTCAGATAAAGCAGCTAATTAATCAGGGGAGAGACCAGTCCTTTCCTCTCACAGATGGAGAGATGGAGGCAAGACACTGGTGTAGACAGTGCTTCTCCTCCTCTTCTTCTGACTCTTCCTTTATCGTCAGAGGGAAGCAGAGAAAGAGAGAGTAAGACAGCTTTGCCTGTGGTGAATCACAGAGTCTTTAAGGATTTTGTCTTTTTTTTTATCAGCGTCTACGCAGCCTGAAGTTTTCCTACAACCCCCAGCTGAGAGGATGACAGGCCTCTCATTTCAAGACTTACTGAAGCTGCTATTTACAGTACTAAACATGTGCATGAAATACCATTTTTGAAGCTAAATCAGTTTATTTTAAGGCTACATTCATGAAGGTGTGAAAATTAAATTAAATATAACTATTGATCACATTGTATTGGACTTAACTTCTGTTAGTCCCATGAGACGAGGCTATTTTTAAAAGGATATATGCTTTGTAATGTTTCTGATGTTGTTCTTGGCAGATTCAGCAGTTTTTCCTCATTTAAATTGAAGTCAGTTGTGCAGACTATTGCTTTTCTACGTGGTTATAACTTTTAACAACCCTTTAATGCTCAGATTATTGATCTACACAAGGCTTTTACAATGAATAAAATCTAAAATAACATTTATCAAACTAATTATTTACTTTAAAATATTTTTTTAGCAGATCACTAGAACCAAATGATCCATAATCTGTTTAGTTTACAACAAATTGCCCTTATATAAAAAAAAAAACATACATTTACTTTTAAATAAAATAAGATTAATAGATTGTGTTCAGATGATTGCTGAGGTGGAAATTTCATCAAAATGTTACATCTATTACTGATTATCTAGCTTGTTAGCACATCATGAGCGGCTGGCTGAAGTGTTGTATTTGTCCTTGACAGATTTAACTTGTGATGGTCCTGGCTGCTGCTCGACAAAAGGCTTGGAGATGTGATTCTGAAAGAGAGAAACTCTGGCTAGCTGCCTGATTGGATGAGTCATTTATTACCTGAAGGAAGGATGGACTGAATGTGATTTAAAAAGTTTGAAGACTATATATCGGCTATAACTTCATTAATTTATAATTGGCCCTAAGAATGGCATTTCATGCTTAATTTAAGTACTGAGTGGTTTCAAACATAAATATGTGTCGTATAGAGACGTGTGTTTTGATGACATGGATCTGAGAATGATTGATTGGTGAAGTCTCCAGCTGTTCGGGCTCGCTGCACAGCCTCTGCTACCCCAGGCTAAACTCATCACCAGCTGTGCAACCTCACCCAGCATGCAGCAGCCAGACGTTACCGTGAAAACATTTTCTTTATACAAAAACGCAAATTGTTTAAATGACAAATGCAGAGCGCCTCAGTTTTGAATGTGTATTATGCAAGATGTTACAGATTTGTACTCTGATGACTCTTTCTGCTCACACAAATCTTTAAAATGACCAACACACTTATTCAGTGTCTCTCACTCACAGAGCCTGAGGCTCAATGAATTATTGATGTGTCCGTATCACATTAGTGTAGATAAATATGTTTGTCTCAAAGGCTAAATGTCATGTGGATTTGAAGTTTGGTGACAGTTTGCTTTGTTGTTAACTGTTTACACACGACACCAAGCTTTTGCATAATTTACAGTTCCTACGAGTCATAGTGATGCCCTTTTTTTTTTTTTGTCTAAATTTATTTTTCTCCTCTTTTTCCATGTGCACATCGTGGCCCTGCAGCAACAAGAGCAGGACCCCACCAACCTCTATATCTCCAACCTGCCAGTGTCTATGGATGAGCAGGAGCTGGAGAACATGCTGAAGCCCCTGGGTCACGTCATCTCCACGCGGATACTGAGGGATGCTAATGGGGTCAGCAGAGGAGTCGGCTTTGCCAGGTAAATATCCATATTCATAAAACCAACGCGAGAATCCTGGTCCTTATGTTCTGTGTGGGTCAAACTAAAAAGAAATGACATTTTCTGTAACACAGTTAGTACCTTTATACCCTTCAGTCAACGCATATTTTCCAAACTCCACACCATTTTTTGTAACTTTGACTTCATATTTAAAATGTCACATCTCAAGAGCAAGCTGAAGTAACCCTGGTGGCACACACTTATCAGAGAAATGTTTTTCAAACTTTTGAAAGCTCCCTCCGGAGCCACAGTAGAAGCTGCACAACTGTCGTCACAGGTTGGCAGCATTTCTTTTGATGAGTTAATTAAACGTTGGGTTATTAACCCATGTTTGATTTGCACAAGAACAGATGCACATGCATATGCATGATTATACGCAGGAACCCTATGTGCACAAACTTAACCACTTACTATCTCCTAATGATTTGTTTCTTCTTTAGTTATGCGTGCCTATGCATGTGTTTCTGTGTCTGACTATTCACCAGCATCCTTACGTTATAGCCTCTTCAGCTACATTTCCATCGTTTAACCGTTCATTTCTTTTTCTACTTAGAAAAGTTTCCACTTCAGTGTAATAATCCCCCAAAGTCATAAAGCGTTCTATCCTTGTCTTCGACAGCAGCCACCAGGCTCTCATTCCTCTCCACACATTCCCCCCTGTTCACCCAGAGGAGGCCGCTGACGGCCACACAACCACCATCTTGCAGGGATTTTTCTTAATCACCTGCTCTGGTTCAACTCTTCTCCTAGTCCCTTCTTTATTTCCAGAAGTTAAAGCAGAACAGAGAAGCATATTAAAATAAAAATAAATGCACAGATAAACTATTCCACACCCACGCATGTATAAAGATGTTCATATGTAAGAAAGCAGGCACTAGAAACTTCTTTAAACCAGCATGCAGCCTCCTGCAGACCAGCAAACAGAGCATGGCAACAACCTGCCACAGGCCACCTGTTCAAGAAATCCTCGGTGCAACATGATGGAGAGGAGAGGGTGTGAAACACGGGGCAGGCAGGAAGACGTGTAGAGAGAAAGAAATGTCATGAGACAGATATGAAGATATTATGAGAAATTTTAGGTAAAAGAAAGTGAAATGAATATGCTCAGATGGGAGAAAAAATAATCAGGTTTGGACGGCTCGAGGAATTTAAAAAGAGTGATGAAATATGTCAGAGCAGGAAAAACAACTGTCCCGAGGAGATGAGGAAAATCAATGTATTTTATGAAATTTAGGACTCCTATTAGCTGTGTCAACAGACAGACAGACAGGCAGCTGCTGAGGGCTGGACTGTGAGGGGCATTAGAGAGAGTAAACTGAGCTAAGTGTTTGTGGGCCGATCCATTACTGTTATCAGAGCCCATTACTCCAGTCCCGGCACTAATCATTGCAGACAGCAGCACCTGATGCCATTAACCAGCGGCATACATGGAAACCTGCCTCCCTGTCCACCTGGCTGACTCACTTAACTGACTGGCTACCCCAAAACCTTGACTGGCTGACTGGTTTGTGACTGCTTTTCCGCCTGTCTGCCTTATTTACTCCTTGTCTACATGGCTGCTTGCTACCTGCTGTACTACAAAAATGAAGATAAGAAGGAAAGCATCATCAGTTTGTGATGATTTCTGTGAATCTATAAATAAATTGCACACTGAAGTTCTTGTGATTGACTCCTTTGCACACTAGAAGCATCCCAGTTTGTCTAAATATAATCTCACACAAGTTTTTTTTATGGATGCACGATATTATCGGCATGGTATCGGTATCCGTCGATATTAGCGATAATATATATATATGACTGTTCGAGTGTTGTCATTGTGTTAGAGTAAATGTCTTGAATAAATTTGGCATTAAACATAATCCAAGTTGAAGTATTAAGTGTTACATCATTTTCAGCCCCCTTTTTGACATCTACATTTGGTATCAGGCCAAATTGACAAAGACCATGCAGAATAATGTAGTATTTTAATTCCACAGCAGAGAAAGCTAAGTAGTCTCTGTAAGTAGGTCTAGGGAAACAAAATAAATTGGTTATTGACCAACTAAGTTTTAACATATCGGCATAACAGATATCGGCCAAAACCCCAATATCGTGCATCCCTAGTTTTTATTTTTATACTGACTGTCAGAGCCAGATATTTGATCGTTTTGTTCAAGGTTACGTTTTAGTGAAGCAAAGCTCACAAAGGTGCCTTGAAAATAAAAATACGTTCTGACATTTAATCAGAATTTTAAATGTATTGTTTGTGCTTAGGTTCAAATATGTAATTAAATACAGACTCATGCGCACACATCTACAAGCCTGATTGTGAAAAATGATTTTATGAACTGTAGATGATGGTATGTTAAAAAAGTCTTTCCAATTTTTCCACTAAGGAACATTTTTCTACAATTGTTTGACTATTTATAGAGGCAGCATTTTGTAGAGTGGTGAACCTCTTCCATCTTTTTTTAGGAGCGATTCAGCGTCTCTGAAATATTCTTTTTATTCCCCGTCCTTTTACTGACCTGCTGCCAATTAACCCAATCTGTAGCAGAATGATCCTTCAGCTGGTTCTTGTTCATGTCACTTTACTTTTACAGCTTTTTGGTGCTTCATGTCATAACTTTCTGGAGATGTGTTGCTGCCACAAAATTCTAAATTATCCTATTTTTTCAAATACACGGTACTTGTTTTAGTTTTTCCTTTCAGTGTATTTTATGCATAACTAGCGGAGTGCTTTAAGTGATCCATTTGCTTTTTTCTGAGTGTGAGTCATGTGTACAAGGCCATTTGCTGTAAGTATTGATCAGTTGAGCCCGACTGACCCGTTAGTGTCTTCCTAACTACTAACTGGGCAGTGGAAACAGAAAGAAAGATTAGAAAAGAGGTGGAAACAGGGTCAGTGTGAGATTGATGATTCCAGGAAGTGTGAAAGATTACATATGCTAAAAAAGATAGTACGGAGAGGAAAGAGAGACTGATGCTGATGTGGACTGGGCATAATATAGAAAGGAAAAAAATGGACAGAGAGGTAAGGAAAGGAGGCCATGGAACGTAGAAGAGACTGGGCAAGAGAGAGTGAGTATAATGGTGAACGATGGAGAAAATAACCAAGGTTGAAAGACGGGGAGGAATGAGAAAGACGTCAGAAAGAAAGGCTGTAGACGGGCTGGGAGTAAGATGGATGGGACAGAGAGAGCGATAAAGAAGCTATGGTTTAAAAAAAAAGAAGAATGAGGGTAGCGATAAGAGCGGGATGAGAGACAAAGGACAGAGAAGTGCGAGGCTGACAGGAAGATATGAGTATTTCAGGAAAAGTGGGTGGGGGAAAAAAGGATGAAAATCTGGGGTGCAATGAATTCTGCACATTCCAGGAGCATATTATCATAAAGGCATTGCAATCACTCAAGCCCACATTGAAAAACAATCTCATTTTGATATCAGTCCTCTGAGTGTAGAGAAATAACTGAAATGCATTTACTGCACGGGTGTGCAAATTCATGCATAAAAATATTTGTTTTTAATATGTTACTGTGACTTAACACAATTTAGTTTCCTGATGGGAATCCCTTGTGCAAAGAAAAGCAAATCTTCTTTCACTTAGGTACTATAGGTTTTACTATGGTAGATTTAGATCCTTCTTTTTTAAATGTTTGCAGTCAAATGAAGCTGCAAGTACTGGAAGGAAACAGAAAAACACTTGTTCATTTTAAGTTCATAATCTGCCATGATGGTGGTAACAATGTAAGCATGCAGGCTGGTTTAAACTCAACAAGCTGAAAGAACATTAAGTTCAATGGACTCATGTGCTCATTTTGTTTTTCTGCATGAAGGATGACAATATAAGAATTAAATTCAGTTTATTTATGTAACGCCAAATCACAACAGAAGTTGTCTCAGGGCACTGAACAAAATCATTCACAAACATACAAAAGCCAATTAGTAAAAGGTATCTAAGAAGGAACTGGAAGCTAGCAGACTCATTGAATCTTCACTTCATCGAAGTCTCCCATTCTGAGCAAGCACAAAGGTAGCAGTGGAAAGAAAACTCCATTTTAACTGGAAGAAACCTCCAGCAGAACCAGGCTCAGGACAAGCGGCCATCTTCTTTGACTGGCTGGGGTTTGAAAGGACAGGAAGCAGAAACAAACAAACAAACACATTTTAAGGATAGAAATAATTACAAATACAAAACAGGTAGAGTAGAGTAAGTAAAGACAACAGCAGAGTGAAGAAATGTGGTCAGATTGTCCTCCAGCAATCTAAGCCTATAGCAGCATAACTAAGGGATAGCTCAGTAAACCCAAGCCAACCCTAACTATAGGATTTATCAAAAAGTAAAGTCTAAAGCCCAGTTTTAAAACTGGATAATGTGTCAGCCTCACGGACAGAAACTAGAAGTTGGTTCATCAAGAGAGGAGCCTGATAACTGAAAGATCTTCCTCCCCTTCTGCTTCATGGAAACTCTGGGAACCACATGTAAACCTGCAGTCTGAGAGCGAAGTGCTCTGTTAGGAAAATATGGAACAATAAGATCTGTAATATAAGATGGATCTATCGTTGAGAGCTCTGTATGTTAGAAGTAAGATTTTGAATTCATTTCTGAATTTGACAGGGAGCCAATGGAGAGAAGCTAAAACTGGTAAAATATGATCTCAGAAAACAAAAGGAATTCTGGTCTTTAACGTTAGACGGTCTGGAAGCACTGAAAACTTAAACGTCCAACAGTATCAGTATCAGAGTGGGTCAGTTTGTGCTCGCCAGCGTTTCAGCAATCACTTTCACCTCTTCCTAACAATAACCAGCTGAGTGGGGGTCAAAGAGGAGATTGGCAATCTTCTTCTCTTGCCTTTTTTGTGTGTGTCATTTTGTGGGAATTCTTCTGTGCGCAATAAAACCCATGCTTTCTGAGCAATAATGCCAAAATTCCCCCTTTTTTTAAACTACCATATATTCCAAAGAAATGTATCAGTTTGTTCAGATTTGCATGAAAGCTATAAAACAGTCTGAAACCGTCTGCTTGGTAAATGAATGTTTCTATGTTGTTTTTAATATGTTCAAAAATTACTAACCGCAAACACCAAAAGTTCAAGTTTTATTCAAGTCTTTTGTTCAACTATTTCCAAGCCCCAAGGCAGGGATTTCCTGCCTTCTTGTTATTACTGAAGTGGGAGATCAGCCGTGCTGGACTCCAGGAAGTCACTGCGCCCCTCCAATAAATAATAAACACTCTGACCCACATACACGGGGCAAGAAAGCAAACAAAGCTTTTCCTCAAATCGCTTGCATTAGGCTCAGACTGTTTTGTTTTGGGGTTTGCATGCCTTCCAGAAGTATGTAAAAGTTTGGGCACCTTGGTAAAACATTCTGTGGGTAGAACATGAACTTATCTGCACAAGAACAACCTAAAGATAAAGCTAAAGATAAACCTAGATAAAAGATAAACCTAAAGATAAAGCCTTATTTTCTAGTTCAGGTAGTATAAAATCATTTAGTTTGGTTTTCCACTATACAAAATTGTCTCTACTCAGATTCTCAGGCGTCTTGTTTTTCTTGGATGTTATTTAGTCTGCCCAAGTGTCTGATCACACCTGGTGTGAAAAAACAAGTCTTAGCATGCCTGTAAACCAACTCTCAAGGCAGGTTGTCTACATGCCTGTAGAAAACATTAATGGTCAATGTTAATGAAGCAGAAATGAGGACAAAAGAGCATTTAACTAGTTCTTTGAATGTTTTGAATTGTGGTAAGGACATGGCTATTGTAAGGATGACAAGGTCAAGATCCATCCATCCATTATCTTTACCCTTTTTTTTTTCCTTTTTGGGTTGCGGGGGTCACTGGTGCCCATATCCAGCAGTCACTGCGCGTGAAGGAGGGGACACCTGGACAGGTCTCCAGTCCATCACAGGGACACATAGAGACAAACGAGACAAACAACCATTCACACTCACTCTCACCTAGAGACAATTTAGAGTTACCAATCAGCCTAACATGCATGTTATTGGTCTGTGGGAGGAAACCGGAGTAACCGGAGAAAACCCACGCATGAACGGAGAGAACATGCAAACTCCACCCAGAAAGGCCCCCGGCCAAGATTCAATCCAGCAACCTTCTCGCCGAGAGGCAATAGCCCTACCATCCGAGCCACTGTGCCCCCGTATGGTCAAATTAGTTCTGCAAAAGTAAAATAACAAAGAAAATTGATTGCAGTGTTGCTAGAAATGCAAACCACTAGGTAAATGGTAAATGATAAATGGACTGTACTTATATAACGTCTTTCTATCTAATCAAGACACTCGAAGTGCTTTCCACTGCAATCTGTGCTCTCATTTACCCATTCATACAGCACTCTACTAGATCTCTACAAAGCTAATCTGAATCTGTAGAGACTAATCAGTGCTTTAGATCACATTTAAACACAGATGGCACACACACTGGAGACAATGAGGGGTTCAGTGTCTTGCCCAGGGACACTTTAACATTTGGCTGCTGGTGGAATCAAACCCCCAACTCCCATTGGAGAATGGCTGCTCTAACCACTCATCTACAGCTGCCCCAGTTCAGAAACCTTTAATGAACATTAGCAAACTCTAAATGATTATACAGTTTTGTTGTGCTTCCTTCAACAAGACATTACTGAGGCAGAGATTAGGTAGAGGTAGGGCAGCCGACTTGGGGCCAGAAAGTTACAGTTCAACTCCCAGCCATAGCTGCCCACTGCTCCACCTGGGTGTATCCCAGGTGTGATGGGTTAAATGCAGATAACTTATTTTGTCATTTTATGGGAACATACAATGATAATATGTAGCACTTATACTTCATAGAAGATTCATCCACTAAAAAATGTTTCCTGAGTCCACATAATCATATTCAATCTGAAAACTGGAATTGAACATTCATAGAATGCATATCTTGTGAACTAATGAAGGTAAAAATAACTTTATGGCTGCAATAAGCAAAAGTATGTTGGTAGGGAGGGAAACGGCACAGACTTTCATGAAAACAATGTTCCATTTGTTGAGCACCGAGGTGAGCCGGTCATGCTTTTGGCTTGTGTTGCAAGCAGTGGCATGGGGGCATTTTCTCTTGTAGCGGGAAGACTGGATTCTGCTCAATACCAGCAAATTCTTGAAGCCAATACAGCTATGAGCGCAAAAAAGCTGAAAATAAAAGGTGTGTGTCTGTTCAACACAGTTCTGTTTTAATGACAGCAGATTAAAAAAAAAGAAATCCTAGTGATAGAAACAAGCCATTCCTTAAAATCTTACTGTTTTGCTTATAATGAACAAAATTTAAATGAAGTCTGCCCGAATTTAGTTTTTATAAGGCCTTCATGTTTGATTTGGATGTTATCTCACATCTCTCCTCTTAGCAGAGCAAACAGACAGGGGGGTCTTTGTTTGCCAACAAACTGTACATTTGTGCAGCTGTCTGTGCTTGATATTCTAATATACGTGTTTGATTTGACGTCTGTCTGACACAAGTGTCTACAGGCCTGTGATGTAAAAGATCAGAGCTCCCCTGTTGGCCAGCTGTTTGGCCCGTTCTGTCTTTGATCCAATGCCTGAGAGTGGAGACCAGTTAGTTCTCTCCAAGCTTTTGCAATAGTTTACTAAACATAAACATTTCTTTTGCTTACACTTTCCTTTCTTCTGGCTCCTTGTAACTTTCCTTGTACATCTTTGCAGACTTTGCATGAGCCTTGTCTGTCAATCCATCTATCATTTATATTATGCACAAAGGCTGCATCAACGTTTTCTTCCATTAAAGCCTTGGATTTCATTACGAGCTTCTTACAAATGCAGACGATGCTCCGCAGTAGATGGAGAGACTGTCGATGGTTTTACTGGACTTTTTTGAAAGAATACAATGATACTATCAGGACGGACGCAGTCTTTGGGATCTTTTAACGTTGCATCTTTGGCTGTATTTAATATAATCTGCTTCATATATGAAGCGTTGCAGTGGAAACATTTTCTGTGAGACGCTTTTTTTTTTTTTCCAAAGTTTGAAGTAAAGTTAAAAAAGGACATCTGTTTCCCACAAATACTTTGGAATAAGTTATTGCAGCATGTAAAGTGGGGCTTTTATGACTCTGCAATTTATATTTTCAGCTTTTGCTACAAATGGGTAGTAAATATTTTAAGACTGAAGTCTGTTTAACATTGTTTTACTGCAGGATGGAATCCACAGAGAAGTGTGAAGTTGTGATACAGCATTTCAATGGAAAATACCTGAAAACCCCACCAGGAATTCCAGGTGAGTCGTCTTCCCCCTTTGCCTTTTATTACTCTCGCCTGACCGCTTTTCATTTATTTCATATAAAAAAAAAGCATCACCTTTGCGAGCAGGAGCCTCTTCTCAGATTCAATTACAGTAATTTCTCATCTCAGATCAGTTGGACAGTGTGATAGATTGTGTACGCTGTGATGTATGACACCTGCAGCTAATCGTCTTTGTCCTTTTTAAATAGTTAGAGTAGTCTGTGGGTCTCTTCTTCCTCTCTGCCTTTTTCTCTCTCTGTGTCACCATCTTTTTGCCTCCCTGGTAGTGTGCTTGCTGCAGGCTGGATCTTCTCGGTCAGAAGAAAACCCTTTTAATATTCACACTCATGCCTCTGTGCTGTTCTTTGCAATCTACTTAAGAGCTTGCACTCTCGCCTCTTTCCTCTTCTGCTCCTGCACTCCTTTGCAGTGTCCTCTCTCCTTTCTGTGTCGCTTCTCTGAAGTCACCCTGTAGAGGAGAAAACCTGGCAGGGAAAAGTGGGTTGGAGAGACTGAAAGAAAAGTTTTGAGTGCAGGATTGCATGTAACTTAGTGTGTTCTCAAAGAAATTTGTTGGTGTCTAAAAAAGTAGCAAATTGTGGGAAACAAAAGGGTGTCATGGCTGGAAAAGACTGAGCTGAAAGGGAAATATGGAGGTGAGAATGTCAGAAAAGGCCTGAAGAAAGAAGAAATGCAAGTTAAGCACTTTTGATTCCAGGTGCATGGCATCTGAATTGTCTCATACGTCTCAGGAGGACGTGCGGGGTCAGCCAGGGCGATATCAAGAGATCTCGTTCACGTCTGTTGCAATTTTAATAACAACCCTCACACCTCCAACCGGCAGCGCAGAAACAGACCCATAAATTGCTCTCCACTATCCAGTAATATCACAGAAAGAGCGGATTTCAGCTGTCCGTATAGACTCAGCCAGTGCATAGCCAGCAGCCATTAAAGGCAAGGTGAGCGGTTATATTGAAGTTTAGCCGTAATAGGAAACCTTTAAAGTCGTAATATCAGGCTGACCTTCCCCTTTAAGGGTCGATCTTCCTGCTGCTCGGCCTTTATTATTGTTAATGGATTGTTCAAGCTTTCGCCAAGCGTGGAGATTTACCACCCTCATTGAGGAAATCCTTCTTGTTGAAATCAGACTGTTTCAGTTTACAAGATCTGCTTTGGTCCATTGTTACTATGTTCATCTTTGAGCTTTCAATGAACTCTTCTGTTTCTTTGTTCCAAACCTGCAACTATATGCTGTTGCAAAGCGCAAACGTGCTTATTTTATCTTCTTTTCGTTGCAGTTTGAGCTAAGGCGCACCATAAACGGCTCTGTCAGATGATTCCTGTAGTTTATTTCGAATTGTGTTTTATTGTTAGTTTTCTGATGTGTGTTTCTCTCTCATCTTTAAGAGGTGCGTTCTTGCCAGTCATTTCTGAAATCTGTGAATCTGCTAAAATGTTCTTGTACAACACACCCTCAGGGGGGAACATCAGTGGGACGATTAACAGGCTAACAGACTATTGTAAGGAAGTTTGGAAATAAAACTAAAATCACATTTATCAGAAATGCCAATATTCCCATATAAAAAGGTATTTTTCTTCTTCTTTCAGTTGCTCCCTACCTTAGGGGTTGCCACAGCAAACTAACTTGCACAAAAACTTTGCAATTTTTACCCTTCCTGATGCAACCACAGACCACAGCATGGAGCAGAGGGCTGCAATCTAGGGTGCCTGGGTAAGCAGATAGTGGGGTTAAGGGCCTTGCTCAAGGGCATAGAGTGGGGCAAACGAGGGTGTAGGCTGGTGTGGGTGCTTCACCTTTTTCACTCACATTTTGATGCTATCAGTTCGAGAGGTCGAGTCGGCGACCTTCCAATCACAGGCTTGCCTTCTCTAACATCTGCGCCACCACTCCCCCTATTTCCATGTAAAAAAGATTAGATCAGATTATTCAGACTGCAGTTGTCACAAAACATGGCTTCTGTTCCTTATTGCAACTGGTCTTAGGATTCAGTTTGCTGGTACAGTAGTCCCTCACTACGTTGCTGTTCAACTTTCGCAGACTCGCATATTTCCAAAGTAAGATTGGACATGGATTGATGGATGAGCCGCTCAAGCGACATGGATTGTTTATTTAAAAATAAATTACTTTAAATGATTTAGCACCTGCTGCACCTGTGTGCAGCCCAAAGGTGCAGGGAGAAGCTCCCTCCTGCAGCGTGTCATGATTTCCGCTCTCCCACCTGCCAGCGATTGCGGCGGGCCAAGAGTGGCAGGGAGCGGAGATCATGACATTCTGTGCTCTTTTAGAGCGTTTAGAGTTTAGAAACATTGTTTGGAATATTGCAAAATTGTGGGAAGGATTTAAAACACCTTTATATATATATATAAATACTAAAATAAACAAATATTACTTGCTATTTTGCCATTTTTCACTTATTGCAGGGGGCCTGGGAATGGAACTCCTGCGCTAAACGAGGGACGTTGTTGTAGCAATAATATTTTATTTATTTATATATATATATATATATATATATATATATATATATATATATATATATTTTTATTAGCTCTTTGACCCCTTAAAATTATGATCTCTTGCGATGTACTTGGTCTCTAAAAGGCAAGTCTAACAAGGGAAAAGAGTTAAAATATTGTGCGATTTTTTTTTTTTATGATACTATCTATCCACGTTGACCAACTGTGTGCTAAATGGAGATTCCTGAGCCTTCTTCTTTTATCAGAATCAGATGTTCTGCTCAAGAAAAAAGTTTTTTTGACGTTCACATATAGCAATTACCCCTTCAGTACGTATGTGAGTGTGTGGTTCTGTGCAAGTGCACATGTATGATTTCACTACATTAATATTTTTGCTTCTGCATTCATAATATTGGGTGCAAATTCACACATCTGCAGTTTAAAACAGGCGTATCTTCTTGTCCACTGAGCCTCTGTGTGTGTGTGTGTGTGGGGGGGGGGGGGGGGTGTCTGTGTGTGTCATGTTGGTGGGATTTCCCCAGAGCCCTTTGCTATGCGGGCCAGCTTCTTCATCCATCGTGCTCTGACAGCTCAGCGGCACCCCTCAGGGTGCTCTCACCACACGCGGAACAGCACGACGGCCTGTATGTGAATTTGCGCACGTGCACAAGTTTGCTCGTGCGATGCCCATGCACTGTGTGAGCCTTGACACAAACTGCACAAGGTAAAATTTGGTCATGCGTCGCTGACTTTGACCTGAATTAAATGCCAGCAACCACACAACAGTAATAAGAAAGTTTTTTTTCTTACATTTAGCGCTTAAACAAATCCAGCAAACACGATCTGAGTAGAACGAAAATGCAAACATGTTTTCATATGCAAGCTTGCAGATTTCATTCAGTGCTTCTACTCGGTTGAGGACATGTTTGAGTTAGTTCGATTGGAGACGGTTTCGCTGTCTTCTTCCATTCAGGTGTGTCCAGTGGAATTACAAAAGGATATTGAGTTGTAACCTTGTTGTCCCCTACTAGGAAGTAAATATCTAGATGTCAAGTGTCAAGTCGTGTGGTTAACTCAACTGACCATGAGATAACAAATGAAAAGGAAGTTTCTGTATTGTCAGGAAGTTAATGATGAGTTACAGATAATGCATCGGCACAGGGAGCAGGAACATACGGAGCAGAGCTTTGTGATAATGCTAACAGATGGCACCTAATAGAAAACTTCCATACATTTCCTGATTTAAATTTAATGTAATAACATCTAACTTCCTTGTGATTACATGAGATATTGAGCTGATATACAGAGAGGGGCAATAGCAGATGGCACATAATGATACTTAACAGCTTCCATTCTCTCACTGTTAAGGGTTTAATAAAATTAGATTTAATTGTCTGTTCCCTTACTTTGTTTGACTCAACTCTGGATTTTATTTCAAGTGGTTTTCTCTTGAAGGTGAACTTTTATTTTTAATTTCCTCTGTTTGATAAATCCATTAGGTAATATGGAAGTCTCACTCTGATCCTCTCCTGTTTCCGTAAACTGGATTGAAGATGTCCACCACAGCTAACCAACCTTCACAAATACAAAATGGCGATAATTTGGCCAATATTACAGATCATAATAAAATTTGGTGTGGTAGTAGCTGATCCTCGCCTCAACACACACTAAGGGCTAACCATGTTAATTTAAAGCACATTCATTATTAACGCATTTCTTTAAAGAGTACTAGTTTTTAATTTTTTAATAGAGTTTTTATTGTGAAGCATGAGCTGGCAGACCGTACGCAGCAACAGGGATAAAAGAACAAATGATAATGAATAGATCAAACACTACCATTGTGTCATTCTGATTCTTGTAAATCATGCAAAATACATTTTACTGGATGTTGTGTAGTTGAAATAAATGAATGAACAATCGTGCGGGGTTTTAAATAGATGTGTTAAACACGACAACTCCTCTATTCTCCATCAGCACAAATGTAGAGAGCTTTTTGAATTCCATCAATCTAAACTCGATTCTTGCCTCTGAATAGTTTTCTCCGTCTACAGAATTCTGCAACACGGTCCTCGCGTATAAATGCATCTAATCAGCTATCGGGGTCAGGTTTGTTTGGAGGAACCTGGTTGATATGAGAGCTGCGTAGCAGTTGTCCAACAAGCCAGTCACAAAGCCCTGCTCCAGCCGCGCCGCTCTGCACACGTCTGATTGTGATTCAGAGAGAGGGACATGATCGATAGCCCTGATGGAGCACTACAGCTGCTTAGCTATTCTGTGCAATGCGGCAGCGGCTCTCTGTGTCGCTGTTGTCAGCTTTGAGCAAGCATCCACATGTATCCCCCCCCCCCCCCCCCGCCAAAAAAAGTATCATGTATCACACCACTGCACTATCTGCCCAGAAATATGTGCTTGCATGAGCATCAATGTTTACCTGCAGCCTGAACATATAAATGTACATGTCATCAGCAAATACACAGATAGATGCGACATCCCTTTAAAAGATCGGCTGATTTTTTTATT